GGAGGGAGAGAGAGGAACTGCATGAAAAAAGGACAGAGAGAAAGAAGGAGACAGCGGCCAGTGTGAACGCTAATAGGGAAGGTGTCACTCGGGCATGGAGAGAAGAGGCCTAGAAAAGGGGTCACACACACAAGACCATTTAAAGGAGTGAGAAAGGAGAGGGAGAGAAAAGATAGTGTACCAGCCACGAGAGCTGTGAAAGACAGACTCCCTCGCTCTTTTTCTTCCGCGCCCCCTCCCTCTTTCTCTTAGCTACTGTTGCTCTCTGGAGTCTCAGGGATTCTTGTTATGGTAGGAGAGAGGGGACGTGACATGGCCAGGGGCCTCAAACCCCGAGCTGCACCTGCCCAGAGCCTCTCAGTCCAAAATAGAGCCAACTCAAAGCTCTCTGCATGCACCCATAACTAAACTATAATCATAGACAATGATAATTAAAAAAAATTTATTAATACCTTTATTTATTTATTTATACAGTCACAATATTAAATTAATTTGTCTTTTTAATAATAATGATCAAAGATTAACGTGTTTGCAAATACATCCAGTTGTGACTGGTAACTTATAAAGACTTCATTAGATTATTTAAATTATTTAAAACATGCTTCTGCCTGCAGTTTACCTGGCAGTTTTGAACATTTTCATATGTACAAAATGTCATGAACTCCTGGGGGTTTCTAAAGGGGAACTGGAGAGGATTTGTGAGTTGATCAAAATGTAATAACTAAACAATAATGTCAAATTACAATAAATAATTTTAAAACAAAACAAAAACACTTAAAACAAAACACTTACTAAAAAGATGAAATATTGAAAAATGTATTTACCTGTATTTCATGTGACCATTAACCGACATCAGAGAATCGTGAACATGCGAATGTGTTGTTAATTTATTGAAAAATTTACTAGATTGAGATATTCGTTTTATTGTTTTGTTGCCATTGTTTGTGCATGTTTGAAAGTGCATGCTCACCATAAATAGATCTCTCGCACCGATATCTACAGCCAGCAAGAAAGCTTTTTCAAACCGCTGGTGTCTGGAAGAGATAAGTCAGAAGTATTGCACAGCCATTTCTAAACACCTGACTGACTGCTGATTTTTATTTAACTATTGTTTTTAATTAAAGCGGACTCAATCACATGCAGGAGGTGGTGTGTACTCTATGTAGAGTGTGTGTCATGTGTGTACCTGAGCAGGTGATGGAAGAATCGGCGGGCGTATCTGCTGATGGGGTCTCTGTACTCCAGTATGACAGTGTTTGAGAGGGGTCTGCAGGGGGCATAAAACATCCCCAATGCTGCTTCCA